CAATGGAGAAGGACTCTGCCATCAGAGACTCTGTGGACTGTACATGTGAATCAGTCACTGTAGGGAGATAGACACTTTGGCAAAGCCTGTTCACACACAGATAACTACCAGCATTTGGCATATTTTGGTTCAGTTAGTCCCTTAACTTAGGGTGATCAAGTTTCTTGAATGGGATGTTTGCCACTGCAAAAGCCTCCACAAGGAAAAATGCCATTGACTTCTTTTCAAGCAGCTTTTCATGGTGCTTTTAAAGAATGAGGACATGATCGCTTTTTCTTGCTCTGACCTTCAGCCTCTGCAGCAGCCTTTTGCTTCATGTGCACCTCAGACTCTAAGTGTCAATCTATACTGGTTTTCCTTGACACATCCAGAATCATGCTGCAGGAGATACAGAACAGTCTGCCTCCATCTGCATGCAAGCCTTACACAGTCCAGAGCTGAAATGTATCGGGTCCTCTTGGAGGATTTCTTTTCACTGTTCATCCCTGCTCAATCCTACTTAGGCTGCAGCACGCTACACCAGCATGCCTCTGACTGCTTAAAAGATGGCACCAAAACCCTTGCACTTAGATGGAGGTAGACTGGGCCCAGGCTGGCACCTATACTGAGGCTACATCAGGCTCAGCTTCTCATTTGCTTTCTCTTCCAGCTTCCTCCCTGCAATGCTTCAAGACTGCTTTCTGCTCTTTTCTCTGCTTGCCAATAATTACTTTTTTTCTACAGCAAGCCTGTCAAAATCACAGAGCCCACCATTTTTTGTGGAAAATGGCTGGTGTCACTTTCTGTGAAAAATGCAAAATCATGATTTCAGTACATCCTTACAAACTGGTAGTTCATAGTCATCTTAGGACAGACATATACTCAAGCATTTCTCTTCCTTTGCTTCCCACTGGATACGCCTACATGTGCACTTATGTTGGCTTAAATGTACTGTGCAGTAAGCAGGAACAGGTCACCGTGTTTACGTGCAGGCTTTAAAGTGCATGTATAAATGTGCTAAAGTTAAAGACAGTCCATACACACGGTGTTACTGTGCAGTAAGGGATCTACATGTGTGTTTCTGTACAGTAACTAACTGGGCATAAACTTATCAAATTTATGCCCAAGTCAGTGTAAGTCTCCATATTTACTGCACAATATAGGCATCAGCGTGTAAATGCGCACCTGTACTGTGCAGTAATTTCAGTTACTGCACAGTAAATGTGCACATGTAGACATGTCCACTGACGAGCTCCTAAATTACAGGACAAATTCTTGTTATTAATGCCTAAGTGCATGACCTTGTACTTTGTACTACTAAATTTTGTTCCATTTTTATTACTCCAGTGTTCCCTAAGAAAGGAGGACATTTTTTTTAATAGAGCCTGGTAAATTATTAGTAGGATTATATGATGTGGCTGTCTGCAATAGTAAAGACTGAGACTCCAGAAGAATGAGACTGAGGATAAAATAGAACAAGAATGAAACAGTCTTTAGTAATCTGACAGCATCTTAACATTTGTAGGTAGATGTTTTCTATTGTTATGTAGTTCAAAGAAAGAATTCCTATGAGGTAAGAACAGCACAAAGGGCAATGAGTCTTCCTGTATACTGTGATGAGTGGGGGGGGTTATAAAAATCCCTAGAGAGTTTAGATAACATATACACTGGGAAAATGGTGATTATATTATATAAAAATCTATAATTAAAACAGAAATCATCTTCAGATTATCTCTAAACTGGAGGTCAGGTCACTGTAACTACATTAACTCTTGATAGATATTACCAGAATTTAATTTTTTTTTATGTTAGATGTGCACAATTTATCAGAAGCCTTTGGTAGGGTAGAAAACCAAGAATTAAAAGGGAAGGCTATTTAGTATACCCGAAACATACAGGATATTTCAGCATCTTGAATCTTGTGTGTGTAAGTCCAAAACATTTTCAGGATGCTAATAAATACACTATCTACAGGGAATAATAAACCTAAGAGACAGTATAACATAAAAACAGGAATAACACTGCAGTGATTCAGAGGTATGTTAATTAGAATGCTATCATTCTTTTGACCGAAGAGAAAATTAAAACATTGATTTTTCCTCTTAAGGCACCACATCTGTACTGTAAACAAGAAATATGAAACTTGATTTATATAAAGCTTCTGGTTTGCCACAGCTGTATGTATACATGACATGAAATAAGTGAAGTATAATATATGTAAACCCTGATAGAAATAGAAAAAAATTGGTATCAATTAGAGCAGTGGTACGCCAACCTTTTTAAGTAGATCTCCTTCGGCATTTAAAACCAACCCAAGACCTGCTGTGCACCACCACCACCTGCCACCCCTCCCCCTCTCTGTGGGGAGGGAAGGTGGGGGCAGATTGAGGCAGAAGGAGAAAAAATGATTTGGGGGTGCACCTCCTGGCAGGTAAGTCTTGTCTGTCCGGGGCCACACTCAACTTACCCCTGCTCCCGCCTCTGCGGCACTGTCCCTCACCTCCGGGGCCTTGATCTAGCCCCCGCCCCTTCCTTCTCCCTCCGACTAACCTGCTAGGCTGGGGTGTGCGCATGCATGCACACGGGCACTCAGCCCCCCTCCCCAGCCTCAGATTGACTGCAAGAGGCTCCGAGTTCTACCACAAGAGGCTCCGAGATCTACCGGTGGATCGAGATCCACTGGTTGGTGACCACTGAACTAGAGGAATATGTATAATTGGGCATCTCTACACGTCACTGTACAGCACTGTTGTTACTACTGTAGAAGTAATTAGCTCACTTGACTAGAAAAACAGACAAAGACCAGATGTGCTGATACTGCTTAATTCAAATGTTCTGAGATAAGGAATCCGTATTCCTACATTCCTTGGGTTATCTTGATAGCTTGCCCTGTGCATTCCTGCATGCCTTGGGTTATCTTGATATATTGCCCTATGCATAGATAGTTTAAGTAAAACTTTCTAAGTTTCTGTGTAATTTACTATTGTTTTGTTTCTCCAAGGTATATTTTTTATGTCTTTCTCTGTCTTTAGTATAAATACGCTTGTAACCTTAGAGAGTCTGAGAAATCCTTTGAAACAGACAAGTGGGTGATTCCCCTTGCTGTATGGAATTCTCCCTGTGATCACAGTATAGCCCTAAATAAAGAAAAGCTGGCTCTGTCAGTTCTGATTCAACCACAATGCGAAGTTTGATTTCTTCCACACTACGCTACCATTTAGGACTTCCTTTTGGAAGTCCGAAATGATGGTGCAATAACAGCCCATATTGTGCCATGCTAACCATGCACGGTTATGTTTAGCTGCTATGTTTCTGTTGCAGCATGCTATGAGGAGGGAGCATGTTGCTATGGTGGCATACATCACATGTAGACATGCCCACTGTCTAGGAGACAGTTTATGCCTAAGAATTCCAAAACTCAGTGTCAGAGGCAAGAATTCTTGTGGGTGATGCCTTTTATTGGACCAACTGCATGGCTGGGATAGACAAAGGCCAGCTTTTGGATATCACAGTACCCTCCTTCAGGTCTCTTTCTCAGAAGAGATTGGAGGAAAGGGTATTGTGATATCTGAAAGCTCATCTATTTCTATCCCAAACCATCCAGCTGGTCCAATAAAAGATATCACCAGGGGCAGATCTAGAATTTTGAAGAGGGGGGTGTAGATGGTGTAGTGCCTCAACACAACATATTTTTCTGCAATTAAAGAGAAACCAGATGATTTACTAATATGCTAGGGGCTCAGTGCTATATTATTCAGTTTAACATCAAAGCAAAACTGAGTACAATTTAGTTGGAATGTGCACTAATTTGCTAGGTTATATGTTAAGTTTAAAAAGCCACAATGAACTAGGAAAAATATTCAAAGATACTGTTGTATTAGCTCTGTAGTCATTATTATTAAATGTACATCACTTATTCAGATTCATAATACAAAATCTAGCCTTCTTGAACTTCTTGACAGTGCATTCAACACTTAACTGTTACTCAGTTCCACACATAAGTTAATGTACATCTGAGTTAAGATTACCACACCTAAGTTAGGCTTTTAGTAAAAAATGAACAGTCAGCAGGGTTGTGAAATAGAAGAGATATTACCAGGAATGGCTAACAGACAGCAAAATTGCAGAGGAAAGGATAGCTTACTTAATGGAACATCAAGACCATTTAAAAGGAAAGAGGTACATTAACATCTGCAAAGACAGTTTACCAGGAATCGGGTAGATCATGAGCCACAAAATCAATTAACCCCCTCAGTACTTCCTGCATAGAAATGCTGCTGCCCCTCCCAGCCAGTTGGTTTTAAAATTTGGGTGGAGCAGGAATCAAAGGGGGGGGGGTAGGTAGAACTGCACCACTGCACCCCACCCCAGATCCATCCCTGGATATCACCCACAAAAATTCTTGCCTCTCGTATATTTCCTGAACCATCACACCAAAGTCTCGCCAACACTACCAAACCTAATACCTGCTTTTTCCATGCTTCTGACACTAGAGGTCACTGTGTATATCTGTATTCTATTCTGTAGCAAGTATCTATGTAAGTGTTCTGCGTTTAGGTTCACTTCCCCTCTGCTCGCAAACCACAAACAAACATTCATTATGTTTTGGAGAATTATGAAGATAAAATGCTTCAGGGATGTATTTGGTAGCCGTGTTGGTCTGAGACAAAAAGAAATGCAAAAAGTCTAGAACTCTTGATGATATCTTTTACTAGACCAACTAAGAAATCACAAAAAGAGATATATTTTTCTGCAAGCTTTCAGGCTCACATGCCTTTCATCAAGCCCAGGGAAAATTAGGATGGTAAAAAGTTCCCATAGATAAGAAATAAATTTCATTAGATAAAAAGCAGCTTTTCTTTGAAACTTTAATACATTCCATATAACTAACTGTTAAAGAATTTGTGTTTGTAGAGCTTCCCTCCTCCTCTCCCCTCCAGTGCAAATGCATAAAATATATAGATAAGACATACGTTTGTTTTTTAACACTTCTTTGTATTAGAACAGGTAAGATGAGTTACCTTTAAGTTTTCTGAACACACTCCACTAACGAGTGCTATGACACCATCATCTGTTACCTAGAAGGGAAACAAAAACCCTCTTATTAGTACACTAGAATAACTAGATCAAAACACGACAGATCTATACTTTAAAAAGACAGCTATTAATCTTAAAATATTTTTTTATAGCGGTCTATCTCCACAGTCATTATACTGACTGACAACACTTTACATGCCCTATGCTGGAGTCTACCTGTGTCTTTTTCTCCTCTCCGAACAGACAGGGAAGCCTTTTGTGGCTGCATATTTTTCCTCGCATGGTAAATTTGTTTATTACTTTTTGCTCTCCTACAAATGTCACCATTTTTTTCCATTAAAATAGTAACTCTCTAAATTTAGGAGGAAGGAGTTCTGCCTAAATAGAGATGTAGCAAAGGGTGCAGACAGGTATAATGAATGAAGCATTCCCAAATGAAACACTCTTAGAAATGCTTCATGGAGGAAGTGTTTCAGGCCATGCGCACATATATAACCTTTTGCAGTTCCTGGCAGGAACATTTCAAAATGCTGCAGCCTCCTTTAGCAACAGCCCAGCCCCAACCCAGCTCCCATGTGCTGTCCTTGTGCACACATAGCCGGAAGTGAAACACTCCATCATACTACTTCTTTTACAGAGGATCTATTTTGGAATGTTTCAGCTACTTTGGGAACATTTCAAAGGGCATACATGTCTGTGTAGCTGGGCCTTTGAAATGTTTTAATTATTATATCTGTCCACACCCATGGACTGCAGAATTTGGCCCTTTCACATCCATGTTCATGTCTTTAAAACATGTGTGTTCAAAACATAGATCAAAACAGGCCTAGAAATGAAACACAATAAAAAAATATTAAAGACACAATGAATACTCACTAGAAGAAATAGAAAGCTAAAGGAAGCCAAATAATTTGCATGAGGGCTAACCAGGTAGTTCTCAGATGAACCACCTCACCAGGCAAGAATACGTTCTCAAAACTATAAGGGCAGTGGTCCAACCCCATGCAGAGTTTAAAATGGGATGGCATCTCTCTGTGGATATGGCAAACAACTTTACACCTCAGGATAAGTAGGGACAGTGCTTTACCATGTATTGTATTTTCTCACATATGTCCTTGTTTTAGGATGAAATACTGGGTTCAGAAGATTCGCCACGCTTGAACAAAGGATGTACTTCTGGTTGTTTTCACCTTTGCAAAGCTTTATTTAAGGATACTTGCAAAGGCAGGTGATAGAACAGAGCAGAGAGGAAAGTTACTTCACATTGGCCTTAGGTGGCAGCCACCACTCCGCATGGTTCCCCTTGCCCTGGCGTGTCCCAATCCTGGGGATGCGATAGCTTGTGCCGGGGCTCCGCGCAAGTTGGAACTTTTGCCAGAGCTGAGGAACCCATCGTAACTCAAGAATGTACAGCTTATATAGTCTGGAGTAAACATTGTTATCTCAAGCTAGGAATTTGGGGATGAGTCCTGATCCAACACACGTGGTGTTTTACCACATTCCACTGTCTTACAACATTCTACTATCTAGGTTCATGGCTCAGTCATGCTCACAGAGCAGGAGGCTACGTGCCACTTCACCGGCCTACTATCGAATCAGCATGCAAAACTCTTGTTATTAACAAAGCTCTTACTATTACAGTCCCCCTACCCCCACCCCGGTAAAGCGCGTGCCTTGCTTTTCAGAAGGCAGCATCAAGAAAAAAAGTTTTCTTCAGAGCATCCAGAGCAGGGCTAGAGCTTAAGCTTAAGCTTTAGCTCATTCTCCCTCTCTTTTCTGCTCAGGCCAAAGCTACAGTTTTATTCCTTTCACAACTGAAATGTTACCAGCTCTGGGGCTGCTCAGCCAAAACCTGACACTGTAGCTTCTGCTGAAGACTGGGCTTCATGGGTGGATCTAGGACTTGGGTGACTGGTGCCACCTGAGTCTGTGGGGCACATGCCGCCCAGTGGCCAGTTAGCAACTGGGGGGTGGGGGGGGGAGTTCCCCTGCAGCCAATCTCACCAACCGGGGGGGTGGTCCCCCCATGTCCGATCGTGTTCACTGGGAAGCGGCCACAGCACTGTTGAAGTGTCAGCACTGCTTCACCTGGCACACCACTCCCTGGCCGGTGCTCACAGTGGGGGCACCAGCGTTTCCATCTGCCCCCACCTGCTTGTCACCTAAGCAGGGAACGCTGCCTGTCAGGGGGTGCACCAGCACTGTCAGGGACTGCACGTGCACCCCTGTGAACCCCCTATGCATCGCCACTGATCTAGGATTTTGAAAAGAGCTCAAACAAGTCAGAAGGGCTGCAAAATAAGAGAACAGGCCAGAAGCAGCTAGCAGACAGTAAATTTGTTGAAAAAAGGATAGTTTTATTAATATAACATCAAGGGCATTACAAAGGAAGGAAGACTACTAATTTCTGTTATGATCAATCAGCAGGAATCAGGTACATTATAATAAATCATGGAGTCAATTGGCTCCCTCAGTACTGCCTAAATAGAAATGTCACTGCCGCTGCCAGACACTTGGTTTTAAACTTTGGGTGGAGCAGGAATAAAGGGGGAGGGTCAACACACTACTGCATTCTCCCCCAGATGTGCGTTTGCTTTAAACCACCCCTCTCTTGATGCAGCTGCAGAAGGAAGAGAAGGAAAAGAAGCAACAGCTATCTTACAGCAAATCCATGTTTCCATTCTGGACAGAAAATCAGCTTTCCTGCTTAAGGTAAGCACTCTAATTTTGGGAGGCTAACTTTCTGGGAAAACATGCATGTGGTATGCAAGTAAATACACGTATAAGCTGTTCTGTAGTAACTGCTTATGTGCACTCTTCTTATTTGACAGAAAACCAGGGTACTAAGTACTCAGCAAAAGGACTGCATTACTGCAGCGTAGGAGTGTGCACGTGGACAACTATTGTGGAGCACCTGACATTACTTTTTGCCATATGGTAAATAGGGCTGTACGAAATTTCACCAGGTGCTTCGTTTTGAAGCTGTTTCAATATGTTTTGAGCTCGAAACAGCAAAATTGAAATGAAATAAAAGGCTTCGAAACAGCTTTGAAACGAAATGAGGGCTCTGCCAGACTCCTCCCAGGGGTGCCAGTCCCTGGATCTGCGTGCCAGATGAGAGGAGGCTGCCTCTGCTGCCTGGGACAGGTGGCAGCAGCAATCTTCTCCAGTGCTGGTCCCAGCCCATGCCCAGCGCTGGTCCAGGTGGCAGAAGCAGCCTCCTCTTATCCGAGGTGTAGATCCGGGGGTGTGAGCCGGAGGGCTGCTGGGCTGTGCCGGACTCCTCCCAGGGGTGTGAGCCCCCAGATCTGTGCGCCAGATGAAAGGAGCAGCAATGTTCTCTGGTGCTGGGCGCATGGTGCACCCAGTGCTAGTCCCAGGTGGTAGCAGCAGCCTCTTTTCATCTGGCGTGCAGATCTGGGGGTCTGCACCATCGGGAGGAGTCCAGTGCAGCCCCACAGCCCTCCTGGGGTGTGGGCCCTTGGATCTGCACACTGGATGAGAGGAGGCTGCTGCTGATAGCAAGTGTCAGGAGTTGTGTTTTGGAAAGTTTAAAGTGCAGTTTCCCAAAACTTCTGTACCTATCTCCTTGAAACCTGGCAGGCTTCATGCCCTCAGAAGAAGCTACCATCCCTGCAATTTTCAACCAAATCAGGCAAGAAATGACAAAGTTTTAAGTATTTTCATGATTCCCCATTATAGCCTATGGGCGAAACACTGAAACGTGTCAAAACAGTGAAAAAGTTTCAAAAAAGTGAAACAAGACAGTGCTTCAAAACGAAACGAGATGAAACGACAAAAAGAAACAAAACACTATCCCTTCAAAATGGCGAAAGGGATGTCGAAATGAAACAATGGTGTTTCGCACAGCCCTATTTGTTAAAGTGTCTTTAAGTGGCCTGACATGCAAACCCTATCTTCTACATTGGCAAATCATACGGTCTGTTGTTGAAGCTGTGGTAATAGAAAAAGGAAAGACTGTTCTCCCCTAATCCACATGCATCCATATAAAGACTTGGCAATTTGTACCGAAATCAATAAGGATGAAAACATGGTAGGAAGCAAATACAAAAGAGAAAAGTTAATATTCTAGTACTTTGTGGATAGAGCCAAGGGAATACATGCAATTTACAAAGCCTGTTAATATTCTGTGCCTTAATCTGCAAAGAATTTCTTTTTAAAATTGCATTTGTACATTTTCCTTCCTCTTGCTGATCTTTGAAAAGGACATGAAAGAACATTTCAGTTTTAGAAAATTGGGGTTTTTCCTTTTTCCCCCCCCTTTAGAAATATCATGAATGTTTACTTTCATCTTCCATGGTTTCAACAGAGGAAACAAATTTTCTGCTATGTTAATTTAGTATAGATGACTCTTAGTAGGAGAAGTGCATGTTTTGGCAAATATGAAACTGAAATTTTAGCAAAAGGACACCAAGGTGGTAGCCTGTGCAGATTTTCTGCTATGTGCCCTTCCCATATGTTAGGTCATTGATAATACCCAACATTTCCTGTCCATTGCTTCTACACAGTCTCTGTTAAAGCCTTGGTCATCTTTTACATCTATCTTAATTTCCTACTCTGGTTTCACACGTTTTTCAAAATGCCCCCTCACACTGGAATAGTTTCCTTGTTGTGTACCAAACAACTATCTTCTTCTCATTCTAATTTTGCCTATAACATACACGTCTTTCACAAGCCGTTAAATTAAAAAATATATCAAAGGACTTAAAGCATTAAGACTGTCAAATTAGTGTCAAATCTGGGTCTGAGATGATGCCACCTTCTACGTTCTGAAAGACATGGAGCACACTGCTGACATTAAACTAATACATTTAACTTTTAAGGAGCTTCTACAAAGACACTCTAGCAGAAAGCAAAAGAAAAATGATTTACATCAAACATTAGGATATTTCATTTATTACTGGGCAGGGGGGAGGAGAAGCATCATGTAACATACATCTGGCAAACAGCTCCAGACGTACAAGGTCATGCATGTTTTGTTCTGCATACTTTGCTTTTTTTGCTTCTCAAGGTTCAGTTACTCAGTTCAGTGGGTTCTTCTCAGGCAAAATAAGATTTCTCCTAGTCACAAGTATGTATTTAATTAATTGGTGTATGATTATAGTTCTACATCTTCTTTTCCTGCATATAAAATAATTAATACCTTTTCTATAACTCAAACACAATTATGACATTGAATATCATGAACAGTATAAAGAACCCTCTAATAACAGATGGGCTCCAGAGCTATTTGTCCTCCAGAGTTGATGCCCTAACTTGTGACTCTTATTTGGAAAGAGTCTAAATACTTTCTGCTACTAACAAGAGACATAATGTATTGGGAAAGTAGCTGCAAATTAATGTGATTTTGGGTTTTGAATCTTAAAAAGCCCAGGGAAAACACAGTTAAATAAAAACAGAGACCATAAAGCTACCCCATTAAATTTATATAATAATTTTTTTGGCATTTTGGTTACCTGAGTAGATGAAAAGTCCACACTATGTAGAAATTTGCAGTTCTGTCCTAGCGCATGCAGGGATGCATCCGTGATGCCTGAGCAGCTGCCTAAGTTAACTATCTGTAAATGTTTGCAATTGAGTGCAAGAGCAAGTACTCCACTGTTTGACAGATTGCAGCATCTTTTAAAAGAAGCTTCGCGTAAATAAGGACAGGACCAGGCCAGAGCTGCAACTCCTATTGAAGAAATAAAGCAAGAAATTCTGAGGCCAGTAAACTACTATCTCCAAAAATATCTTGTAGTATACCACATATTAAAGTACATAAAAACTTCCCTGCCATTAAAAAAAGCTCTGGCAGTGTCATTACTTACTGTTTTTAAGAGAAACACCTAAGGTTAACATTACACAGAGTAATGAAGGAAGTCTTTTTCTGAACTGTTCTAATTAATTTACTTTCCATACAGTTGATTTATCTATTTCTACCATTTGTGTGGGATTTTGGCTTGGTCTAGGTTATATAAATGACATCGATTTATTTTTTTTTAAATCTAGTTAACTCTTCTTTAAATCAACTTAGCTAAGGGATTGTTCTCATATAAAAGTTTCACTGATTTAACTTATATCATCTTAACTAAATTAACTGATGTGTTTAGATAGTCTTTCACTGGTTTATTATGGGTTTAGCTTTATTGGTTTAGCTTGTCTCTTGTACCACTCTTTGGCTGTTAGTATAAACCAATTGTTATTTGTATATTGACTGGCAGGCATGTCCTGGGATGTAGCTGAAATATGTATTTTGCTAGTAATGCAATTTTTCCTAAAATGGCTAAGTTTGGTGGTTTTATTTTGTGTTATTTTCTTTAAGAATGTATTAACACAATTGCACGTCTGGGCTTTCAGGGTTAGGGATTTAGGGTGAGAAATCTTTCTATGGCTTTAAAGAAAAATGGAAATTGGCAGATGGGATTACAACCTCCTTTAAAGAAGTGAAATCTAGCTCCATATTTTTCTCCACAGCACACAGTTTCTTTCAAATGGTTAAAATTGTACTGATTTTTCCAATTACTGGATGAACCAGTAAGCCTAGCTAATTATGTGGACTGTGAGATACCAAGCAGAATTTAATCTGCTTCAGAGGCAAGCAGTCCTTTATGATGAGAGCACTATAATCTAAAGGTTATTTACCATCATATAAAAAGGAGATAGAAGTGAGATATAAGGAGGCCATCCTGACAATACATTAAAAACCGCAGTTTAAACTGTTGTACAAACCACAAACACAGAAGCCTGTTTTATAAGTAAGATGATACCCGCAAAAGTTCATCACTGCTGGTGACTGTGAAACTCAAGTTGAGCTGGGCCTACTCATAAAAATTAAACTACAAAATATTAATGATAAATGCAAATTGTAAGGGGAAGTAATTCTGCAGCTGGGATATTCTGAAAAGAAAAAATGAGGTGTCATTTTCAGCTTATTTTATTATACCTATACTGATTTTAAGCAGGCTCTTATGTGCCTGGTTTTTGCTGTGTTAAATATATATCCTTAATTACTTTGGTAAATATTGCTTTATAATTAACTTATGTTTATGTACAGGAAGAGACATTTTCCACATGGGGCTTGATAGTTATCTCCTCGTGATTAACTTTTGTTTTGTTTCAGCGGTTCCCTTCATCTTCCAAGGACAACTCTTCAAGAATGCTCTGTGTTTCTCCTGGTTGTTAATCAACTTCCGGATATGTTCCAACTCAGTATAGATTTATAACCTCCTAATACCGAGTAAGGTAATTCAATCAAAATTGGGACTACCCAAAAACAAATAGTGAACAGTTGAAAATAGGTCTTCCTATTTGTTATTGCTTGGGTTTGTTTTTTTTTATTCAACTACAAAAATGCTTTGAAAACACTGAGCTGAAGGGTATAAAAAGGAATGAAGCAGCTAACGGGGCATCTTCAAGAGTGAGAAATCATTGAAGACAAGAACTGCTACTGTGTCTAGCTGATCTTCCAGCGACAGATAAATGCCTTGAGAAGCTGAAAAGACTGAGGCTGCCTTTTTGCCTGTATTGGTGAGATGCTAATGCTTTTCCAGCTAAATATACTGAGCTTTGCTTTAGGCTTATTTAATAGTAAATATTGTAGTAAATAAAACTATTGTCATTTATCGAACAAATTGTCATGTCAATCTTTTAATACACTAGTCCCAAGTCCTACTTGTATCTTTAACAATTGTTAATATACACAGTAAAGAATTCCACACAACTTGGGCTTACTCTGGGTTAAGGCTGATAAATACTACATTTTCCTGTAAAACAAATGATTCATTGCCTTGGGCCAATACTCAAATCCAAGATGAGGCTTTTCTTCTCTCCTTGTTTGGAGGAAAAAAACCATGTCTTGGATTTGAGTAAATATGACCTTTTAGTTATCAAAAGTACAGGACTTCATTGTCTGGCCTGTCAAGTCTGCATTATTTATGTGAACTAATATATAGATATTGTGTGTGTGGCTAATTTTTAGCTCGCTGCCATTGTCCGCATTCAGGCTGCTTAAGACTGTGTTCCAGGAGGCCAGTGCAACCCAGCAGCCTCCTGGAGTCCAGGTGTGACACAGAAAGAATGACTCAAATTTGTGTTTGGTGGCAAAAAGCTCAGAGAGATATACTGTCACTTTGACAGCAAACTAGCTGGTCTGTTTAGTAATCAGAACATCTCAGTAGAACTCAGTCAGAACTGCCCAGGGCCAATGATTTAAGCCATGCATAAATTACACTCCCCTAGGTTGCTACAAAGTAAATCTTGCATATCTATATTTATACCTGAAATACCCAAGTGCCAATATTTACTTACCATTTTGTCAAAGTACCTATTTTACTTGTCTTTTTTACAACCTCACACTTGGCTCCCTTCCATTTTTTTATCTTAACACATAACTGGAAGTCCTGCAATTTAACGTACAGCTTCTTGATAAGTTTTAATCAGGCAATTCATTTAAAAATGTTGTGTATTTACACAAGTTCTTACTCCTCTTTAAATTCTGTGTTGATTAATAAGACAAACAGGTGAAATCCTGAGTCCACTGTAGTTAATGGGAATCTTGCCACTGACTTCAGTATATCAGTGATTCCACTGGACCAATGTAAAACAAAGTTAAATATTAGAGATAGTTAGAAAATAGAACTTCCATTCTGCACTTTGACATTAGAAAAGCTGACTTTATCCTGAATTGGAATGAAGTGCTGAAGGTTACAGTGGAACAGAAAAACTGAAGAACTCTTATTTAGAAATACTAATTTGTTATTTTTATTAATCGAAACATGGTCATGAAATGTTAAATATTTAAATGGAAGAAGCTAGAATGATATCAAAACTGAAAATGTTGATACTATGTAAATGTAACCAGGGTACATGCATTCATTTAGACACTTTTCAATCAAAAGTTTGGTTCAAGTTGGCATGTTCCTACAAAGCATTTCACTGAACCTTCCTTTACTAAGGGAAGACTGTTCTGCCAAAAATTAAGCATGCACTTTAAACTAAACAATGTGAACATCACCCAGTTTAAGAAAAAAAAGGTGCCTACAATTGATTAACTAAAATGTGCCAGTGATACTCTAACCAATGTGTATTCCATACAATATTTTATATATGAAGCCTTCCAAGAAAAAGAAAACAGAAGGCAGATCCCACTTCTGTCAACATACAAAACATACCTTCTGAAGTTATGCCTAATCTGTTTTCTTTACAAGAATTCAAGTTTATTTTCTTTAGATGTTTGCAGATATAAAGCTTCAACAGGGCATTATCTGAAACATCACAGTCTCTGAGGTCTAAAGCTTCCACTGAAGGATGCAGCACCTGTAAGGCAAGCACAATACTTCATATAAACTTTATGTAAATCTACACATTTTAAATCTATGATAGTTACTGTGTTAGAATTAAGTAAGAATAAAAACTGTTCTCAGAAAAGGTGAGGTGGAAATCCTCATTTTACTTAACATGCACATTTCTGCAGTAATGGATCATCTCTTGCAGTGAGAGTTGTTTCGTTTCTATGGTCATGTTTAAACTGGGAGCACTTTATCGGCAAACTACACAGGCAAAACGCCCCTAAAATGGATTCATTTTTGCTCAAAAAGCTGAGTTTCATATTGGCATTACAAAGTGAAGTGACTACAGTAGTAATGGGTGTACAGTTTTTGTCAAACTCTTACCAGACTTGTCAATCTTGAATTATGGTGTCATGATTAAAAGAAGGCAGTGCTAGAACCCATATTAACAGTAGGTGATGCTAAAAATCAGAATAGTATGCAGGCGGTACTAGAAAGTTGATAAGCAAATGATTAATACTCCATAATTTGACACCATAAATGTGATTTTGTGGGATTTTTTAATAAGTTCATACTAAATTTAATAATCGTTTTTCTTTTCTTTTTTTTTGGATTTACTACCCCCTCAGGAGCCATAAAATCACGGCTGAGAATAGTGTTCAGGCATGGCTAATCTTGTCTGCCAGCCAAGCAGATTCAAGCACCTGCCTGAAACCCATGGCCAAAACTCCAGCAGCAGGGCCGGATTATGATATGCTGGGACTCTAAGCAATGTCAGGCTTAAGACGCCCCACGACATTACCAAAAAAAGTGAAACGCTCACAAAATCTGGCACTTTGCCCGCCGCTTTGGAACCAGCCTCCACTCCCTGCCACTGGCCTGGAAATGGCAGGGGAAGCTTGCACGCAGCTGCTGCCGCCTCCATTAAGCACCCCATTCTGCTGCTCTGCATGTGGCTGGTACTCCAGGACTGGCCGCCACTACCCCCACCCCTCCCCAGCTCCGCGACTCTCTGCAGTGCTGATTTAAAAAAAAACAGCATTTGCAAACTTCCAGCACATGTTCGGTCCCAAGCACACCAGATTTGTGAGGTTTTACTGTATGTGTTTTACTCATAATGTGAGGCCCTAAGCTGTAGCTTACTTAGCTTGTGCCTAAATCCGGCACTGTCCAGCAGTGTCCCAGGCCTGTAGGCCAGGTTTGGGACTGTGCGCTCTATAGTGTTTGTCCACTGGCTGTTTATTAGTGCCATCCTGTCAACCCCTGAGGTACAAAAAGCCCCCTGTGCTTGAGAGAGCCATTTTCTGAAACCATATGAAAAAGCAAGACACCACGGACAACTATCTTGTTCTGACTAATGGGGTAGATCCCCTCAGATGAGCCACCGGAAAGCAAGGACATATCATTCACTCCTACCCCAAGGGGTATCACAGAGGTAATTAAGCTAGAATTTTGGGACTTCTCTGTAGACCATACTGATTATATACTCTCCACAGCTGGATGACATGCTGTAGAGTGCTTCCAAAGCATACGCATCAGCAGCCCCATAATAGAGACTGTTTTCATCCACACCTGCAAGAGATGCTGGATAAGAGATGGCTGAAGGTTACACAGCTGCAACTACTTTGAAGCCACATTGAACTCCATTCAGGCTACAGTGCATTGTAAAATATTTTCATTATGTGTTTAATAAACACTGGTCATTCAGAGAGCAAATACAAGTTTGCCATCTACCCTAACAGGCAAATAGGGAAAAAGAAGTCTTTGTACTTAATGACAGTGAAGTGTGGATGATGTTGCAAGAAGGCAAAATTTGTCTGAAAAGATTACAGGGAGTCCTATAGGGTACTTTTTAGTTTTGTTTACATATAGGTACATGCTGATGAAATAATACTGCATCTGTTCACAAGCCTAAGGTTTGTAATATAGACGTATAACATTAGTTCTACTCCCCAAAAGAGCATCTTGGGGGTAACAGAGCCTGTGGCAGCTGCACTTTAGTTAAAAAAGATGTAATGGCTTTCATTAGACTCTTTGTCAGGTGAACCTCCAGCTTTTAAGATTGTCATTCTTAAGCAATGTCTGTTGGTAATATTGTCCAAACATATTCCTGACCAGGAGATTCTGCACATTTTCACAGTAACAGACTGCACAACTGTAAAAAAAAAAAAAGCTGTTAAACTTTATCAGCAGCTTAACAATAAAATATGTATCATAACTTTTGGTGTTGTGAGATATGAATCTGTGCTTTTTGAAGTTGTGGCTGTGAAAATTTCCTGACAGTCAGAAACACAATCTTTACCCTTCAACTCCCACCTGGTTTTCTAGTGTCTGAACACAGCACAAAGAAGTAGTTGGGTATGCGCCTACCCATTTCCCGCATACATTCAAAATCATGTTATCTTTTGCTACACAATGTAATCTTTTGCTACTTTGAGCAGTTTAAGATACCTCATGTAACACAGGTGTCCTCAATATCACCCTGAATCAAATCATTGCACAACTTATAAATCCGCCCTTCACAGCGGTGACCTTTGCTCACATAGTACTCGCACCTGTCGCACAGAAATTTAGTTAAACCTCTGAATTTTCCCTGGGCTGCCTCTCTCCTCTGTCTCTCTAAACACTCTTGGGACCTGAAAAACCACTTGCATCCATCACACCCTGTGTTTGTTTCTAAGATTTCCACACACACTGTGCTAAAACACAGTTGGCACTGGAAATTGCAAGCAAGGCTGTTCCTGTGCCTAAAAGCCAATTAGCAGAATTCACAAAAATACCTGGCTCCACAGAATTTCTTCATACCCAAAATGCCGTAATAATGATCACCCTGAAGCTAAATAAAAAAGGTCTTAGGGTACATGGGAGCCCCCATTTTAAACTGTTCCCAGAGTAATTTTTCCACTGGGAAAGACATCTCTGACGTTGACACCTAAACAATAGGGCTGCGTGAAGCTTTGGTCCCTGATTCGATCCAGTGGAGATTCGGCTCGATTCAGTGGCCACATCTCCAAAACTGAATTCAATCAGGAGACCCTTTAATCTCTCTGAATCGAAACAGAACCCTCCAAATTGATTAGGAGAGATTTGGAAAGATTCAATGATTCGGACAGAGACACAGTTTTAAATGTTTTTTTCTACATACTGCAAGGTACCAGGCAGCTTGTGAATGCTGAGATGGTGGGGTGGATGGAGCATCCCACAGAAGTGCAGGGGGCTCCCCAGCGCATTCGGCAGCAGACTCGGAAGTGGACCAGAAGCACTTCCGGTTCGCTTCCGGGTCTGCCGGGGAGAGCTTTGGGGGATCTCCCCGTGTCCCTCCAGATCAACAACTGGTGCCTTCTGGGTCTAGGGCCTGGGAAGTACTTCTGGTCCACTTCTGGGTTCGCCGGCGAGCAGGTGGGGCACCCCCCACGCTCCTGTGGGATGCTCCATCCGCCCCAGCATCGCAGCATTCATGAGCCACACCTGGTACCTTGAGGTATGTAGAAAAAACATTTAAAGCTGTGTCTCTGGCTAAATCGCTGATTCTACAAATCAGCATTGAAACTTCAGATTTGGATTCAGCCAAATCAAATTGGGACAGTGATCCGAATCAACTAATCGAATCACTGTCCCTGATTCAGGCCAAATCTGAATCCAAATATGGCCCATGTTGCACAGCCCTAGAAAACAACACTCAAAAAGCTGCCACACTGCTATGCACAATCTTTGTCTGATCTGAAATTCCCAGTTTCTCATGCAACTTTCGGGATTTGTCTAAGAATCCTGCACCTACACTTCTTACTTCCCATAACACCCACAAGAGTGACTGCAAACCACATTATTACCATAATTATTCAGATCCACTAAATCCCATGTCTTACAGTCTATGATTTGGTTATAGGGGATAGATCTTATTGCCCTGCATGCTGTACCCCCACCCATGTTTTTTTATGATAGACTCTATTATGTGTAATATCTCATCTGTCAATATCTCCATGTTACTCTGAAGAAAATGAGGCATCTTTTCTAGAAATTCTTTTGCATCTAGGGGTCCTTTAGTTCTCCTCACAAAATAAATAGGATTATTCATCCTAGCTGTACTGAAAAATCAGTTGTACAAAATCATCAGGATCTATCTGTTCATTAGCCCTGTAGCCTATGGCCCATTTTGCAAGTAACCCCAGGCACCTGAAAGATCTGTCAAGCCCAGAGGTTTCTGGGAAATCTGCTTTCTGCTCCTGCCTTTCCAAAGGCAACAACCTTCAGTAAACTTTGTGTTAAAACAATATAAGAATAACTATTAAGCAACAAAGACTAACTGTCAACTATAGGATAACAAGCTTCAGACAACAGTATAATAAAAATAGCTATAGGGTAACAGCAGAACTTAAGTCAGCATTATACATAGACCAGAAGTGGGGAATGTTTGGGCCTGAGGGCCACTTAGGGAGTTTTGGTGAGCTGTAGCAGGCTGGGTCAGCACCTCCTCTCCTCCCCCCACAGCAGCTCACCAAAACTCCCTAAGGCTAAGTACAGACAGGAAAAAAGCCCAAGGCTGAATCAATTCAGTCTTTGCAGGTTAGTTGAAGCTGCAGAGATTAAACTGAGAAACAACTGGACAGACATTCACTTTTGATTCAGGAAATGTAGCCACATGCCTGTAGTGACTCAGACCAGAAGCCAGGGAGCATACAGCATGGCTCTCTGGCACATAGCCAGCATAGGCTGTGTGCTCACTCCCTCTTCCTGCTGCCCTTGAGGTCTCTGGGATTTGCAATCCAGACTCACAACTACAGGACACTGCAGGGATGCTCGTCACCTCCTCTTCCTGCTTCCAGGTGCCTCTGGGATTTGCAGTCCACAGTTGCAGCTGGCAGTAAGTTTTTAGTAGGGCAGGACAGCTCTGTACTTGAGGGAAGGGAAGCTTAACCCCCTTTTCTGGGGCCCAGAACCCAGCTGGGATTTCCC